TTCATGAGTATGATATAATGTTTTACAATAATCTTTCATTATGTTAATGGTGTTAGGAAGTTGGCTGTTGTTGATGTCCAGTTGGGTAAGAGGTGTAATAGGTATGTTAGTAAGAAATTTGATGATTTGGATTTTCTGATTTATATTGTTTAGTGATGTTAGATTGGTTTGGTTATTGTTATTAGGAGAGGAGTAGAGATTGATGAGAGTGCAAAGTATACTGCCACAGGTGTTAAGTGCAGTGTGGGCTTTTGAGGCAGTTGGTGAAAAGTTTTGAAATTGCTTTTATGAGCAGAATGTAAAAGGAATATGTGTGTTGGCTGCAGTAAGAATTGCATGTTGAATTTGGTGCCAAAGTTAGTTGACTGTCAATGTGGAGGCTATTGTTTCTGTAGTTAAGGATGATAATTGATAGCTTTTTTGTTGAAATTCTTCCCAAAGTTCATTTGTCATAGCATCATATTTAAATGCCTTGTATTTGTATTTTTTGTGTCATTTGGTTGGTTTGGTATGTACTTGAAGATTGGTATGTATGATTTGATGGTTACTGTCAGTGATGCCAGTTGCATTAGTGATGGTAGATATTGTAAAGGTGTGTATGATTTGTTGTGGGATTCAGATTTCATCAATTTGGCTTGATAGGTTTTTACATTGCCAAGTAGGAACATATAGGTAGTAAGAATGCATTAATAGAATAAAGTTATATGATATAAGGTATTTGTAGAGAGTAGAGAGCTGTGGTTTGTTAAGATCTTGGTTAAAGTCTCCCATGATTACTGGTATAATGTTAAGTTTTTGTGCTTATGTGATTCAAAGAATGATTTGATTTTGTGTTTTTTTGTTGGTATCTGAGTTATTTGGTAAATAGGTGGAAATAATTCGAAAGCTGTTTTTGTGTAGTAGGTAGAGATCAATTGCTATAGCAATGCCCTCGAGAGTTTGAATGTTGTGAATGTATGTTGTGAGTGATTGGTTTATTAGGATTATTGTTCCTGCACATGATTCTCTTGGATGGTGAGAGTTTGTAGTATTGTTGTTTGACATAAAGCATTTGTAATTATTATTGTAAAGTGTAAGATGTGTATATTGGAAGTGTGCTAGTTTTGTTTCGGTAAGTAATATAATGTCAAACTGTTGGCTGATGCAATAATCAAGCCATAATTGTCTTTTGGTAATGTTGTTGTATCCTTGGATATTGTGTGTTGTGATAGTTAAAGTTGTTGTAAATATGTATTGTTGGATTTATTCATATAGTTTGTTGATATAATATTAGGAAATATCTATTGCCACTAAATTGGTTATAGGTGGCTCATCTGGTAAGGTAGTAGGAATGTTAAATATTTCCCATGTTGGTGTGAGTAGTGGTGGTAAGTTGAGTAAGAAGTCAGGAATTGTTCAAACTGTACAGTGTTGTCAAAGGGTTTGCATTGTTGATGTGATTTGTGATTGTAAGTTTATTGGAAGTGTAAGTTGTATATTGTTTTGAGCTAATGTTGAGTTAATATCTTCAATATTGTCAGGTATAAGTGGGAGAGCTTGTGTAGTCTAAGCGGATTGGCTATTGTCGATATTGTCTGCTTGGTTTGTAGTTTGAACAAGAGGGTTTGTAATTTTAATCCATGATAAGGGCAGTTGTTTAAAATAAAAGTATTGTCGAAGGGTTTTTGCAATTTGGGTAAGTTGTTGAGGTGTTGTAATAGGTAGTGTGATATTAAGTTTGGTGAGTTCTTGGGTGTCTGTTGGTAGGTCAGGTTTGTCTGTAGGGTTTGCTTGCATTATGTGGTCTGGTATTGGGAATCAGACACGATAACATTGAAAAACTTCATTAAGAAATTTTTTTGCTATTGTGTTGTTAGTTATAGAATAGGTGTACTGTGAATTAGTGCAAATAAAATCTGTATTATTGGGCAGGGGTGGTTTGGTAATAAAGTAATCGCTGGGAAGTAGTTTGAATATATAGTACTCTTTTAGCTATACAACTGCCTTAGCTAATGGTATTTTGGATGTAGATGAATTGAATAGGAAGAGTCCTCTAACTTTATAGTTGAGTTCCTGATATGTAGTAGGTAGTGGTTGTTTTGGTGGTGGGAGTTGAAAGTATGAACTTGGAATTGCAGTGAAGGTGTAATGATCAGCAAGCTTTCGTCTGAAATATGAGAGGTATTGTAGTGATTGCCTATTGGTTATTGGAAAATAGGTTTGTAGTTCTGGTAAGAGATCCTGGTATCTTTCAGGTAATGTTGGAAGTTTTGCAAAGTAGTTATCTGTTAGCTTGTCAAATCTGAAGATTTTTCTTAATGCATTAACAGTAGCTCTTGTATATGATCTTTGTGTAATTGGAAGTGTAAATGGTAGAATTTCTTGAATATGTTCAGGAATTTCATTAGGGTTTGGTGGTAGTGGTATGAGTTTCTCTTGAAGTACATTATTGATTGTAGTTCTAATTAGTTTGGGTGTTTGTTCATTCTCATTTTGGATTTGTAAGAAGCCTCTCACATAATAAATAGTTTTGTAAATCATGAATGAGGTATAGGTAGTAAAGTTGATGTTAGATAGATATTGTGATATAAGCATTTGCTTAAGCATAGAATTGATAGTTTTGCGAGTATTTGCATCTGTGAATGTAAT